GGGCTGGGCAGGAGCAGGCTGGGACCAGGGCATGGGGGGCTGGGGCAGCAGGCGCAGGGACGGTGCCAGGGTACCCTGCTGCCAGGAGAAGAGAAGGGTTTTCCTCCAAAAGAGATGGGGACAGGCTCTGCTGGGACAAGGAGGCAGGTCAAGCAGTGGAGAGACCTGAGCCTTGTGCCGTGCCTGTGCAAATGATTCTTCTGGCACTGGCGTACGCAGACAGATCTGCTCCGCAAGTGCTGCAGGGTGTAGAGGGGGGCTGTGCTGTGACAGCTGTGAACATAAAATGGTTAAAATAGCTTACTTCTGACAGCAGCAATTCTTTGGTTGAGAGCACTGTCGTGGCATCAGCTGTCACTTAACACAGCAGAGCGGCAAGTCCCGGTGAGTGTAGTTTGTTCTCCTCCTCAGAACTATCCCCTCTACATCCGGAGTGTTCCAACTGAAAACGAGCTGAAGTTCCACTACACCGTGCACACTTCCCTCGATGTCGTGGATGAAAAGATCTCTGCGATGGGCAAGGCTCTTGTAGATCAGAGGGAACTGTACCTAGGGCTCCTCTACCCCACTGAAGACTACAAGGTGTATCTTTCTAATGATTTTTGCCATGCCATTGTATTTATAGGCTCTTTCTTGCGAGGGGCTCCACGTGGGAAACCTCTCTTCCTACTTGGTGCCACATTAAAGACATCAGCAGAAAATATACAGACTTGTTCATTGACCAGTTTGTCACGTAGAGGTTGAGGTTTGGTACCTTGATCAGTTCAGCAGCCGCTTTGTTGCCCAACCAGGCGGTGGAAAAATTTACCTTTAGCCTACATGAGGGAGTGCAATGTGTGAAGCGTGTCTGGCGCAGCTAGACTTCACCTGTCGTAAACTGGGTGCTTTATTCCCTGCTTAGCTAAAACAGTTGACTGTGACTAGAACAAAGCTTAGATTCTTTAGTAACACTAATGAAAGTAGCGGGAGTGTGAAGGTGTCTCTGGTCAAGTACCTAAATCTCAGGTCTGTGGCCTGATTCTCTAAAATGTCTACTCCAGGGTCACACGTTCCCTAATGTTTTTAAGTCACAAAGTTGATCTTTTGAAATTTCTTCCGCTTTTTCCCTGAATCCCACAGATGGAAGTTATCAGCAGACCTGATTTCTGGATTTTCATAAACTGGTGGTTTCATAAGCTTGAGCTGGAATTATCAAAGATGGCAGAAGTCAGGTAGAAAGGGGATACAATTCCTGTGATCTAGTGTCTTGCTTACCTCATCTAGTCCTAGTGATGTACTGGGCGCAGCAAGAACGTCATGTTTCCTCCCAGCTTGTTTCTTTGAGTGTATTCCAGCCTTGTTTTAGTTGCTTTGCCAGGCTCTGATGTAGCAGAAGCACGCGCCTTAACAGCTGCACAGATACGGCTACGTGACAAATTCGAAGGTGAAGTTTGTTATGGTGGTGGATTCTTCAAACACAGCACTTCGAGACAATGAGATCCGTAGTGTAAGTGCAGGAAATCAGAGCACAACTTGCCACATCAGTGTTTTTGCTACTTCCGCTTATTCAAAAAGTGCTGAGAAGCAAAAAAAGAAAAAAAATTAACTAAACTACAATCCCTTTGCAGATGTTCCGAAAGCTGCATAATTCATACACGGACATAATGTGTAACCCTTTTTATAACCCTGGGGACCACATCCATTCCAGGTAAGTGGGTTGACCATACTGATCTTTGTCATCTTCCTGGAACTTGCATTGTACCTATGATGCAATAGGACCAAGAGCATAACCCCTGTGGTTGACCAGTTCAGATGTGCATGCTCTAGCTGCCTGAATGGAGAACAGCTGTGTTGTCTTTGGGCCGTTACTGCATAACAGAAAACCGATAGTCTCATGAGAAGTTGCATTGAACTCTTGCTCCCACCTCAGAGCTGGTGTTAGAAACATTGACACAAGAAAATTAAATTCTTGGGGAGAAAAAAATTGCTTGTTTCATAGGTAAACATGAAAATAAGCAGGTTAAAGAGTGAACAATTGTGCTTGTCCTTGGGTAAGGACAGATGGGCATTGCACATGTGTAATTCCTCACATGTGAGGGCCAGTGCCCCTCATTTCTCATCTAAACTCGCAGGGAATTTTAATAATGTTGGGAGTGTCTGTTGCCTGGGCAAGAACAACTTCTCCTACGCTTTGCTGAGGCAGGTCTACAACCAGCATAAGACCTGTCCTTACTTCAGCTTGATTAAAAGTCATTGTTTACTCAACAGAGCATGCTAAAGTTAAAGAGTAAAACCATGTATTCAGCTTAAGGGAAGCCAGCTTGTTAACCAGTAAGTGGCATTGTTAGCCATTGGTTTTGTTACAAGAGATCTGCTGTGCAGAGCTAGCTGCTTCCTTTAATTCTCTCTGTTCATTTCCTTTTCTAGGGCTTTTGATAACATGGTGAACTCCATGATGATGCAGGTGTGCTGAAGCTTTGCCCCTTCTCACGCGAGTGTTGAGAACATTCCCTGTGTACAGGAGTGTGCCTACAAAGTGATGTATATATTGTTTTCATTCTGTGTAATAATTTAAATTTATTCTGTGTAAAATAAACTTGACGCCTGCAAGGTTTGCATGCACTTCTACTCTAGCAAACTTGAGTAGAGCACAGAAGTCAGTGTTCAGCTTTATGCCTTCAGGTAACATGGGAGAGCCAGCTCTTCCTTCAGGAAGGTCAGCTGTGTCGGATAGGTTTGTTCCCTACAGCAATGTGTGCAGCTGTGCCTCTGTGCAACTCAGATGTTTCTGTAGAAATCAGGCTTTGTGTAAAAACAGCAGTTCCTGCTGTGTTTGTGATGAGAGCAAGCACAGCTGCACAAAAGACAGCCAAGAGATTATTATTAGGGTCAGCCTAGATTTCAGTCAGCTGAGAGGCAGCGAGAGTGACACTGATCCTCAGAAGTGCTGGTGCTTCAGAGCCGCTCCTCTAAAGCAGGGGGAGCACATCAGCCACAGCAGTCCTTTTGCTCTTTGCCAGCCCCCTTGGCTGCTGCTCAGGACTTCATTCTGACAGGAGCATCACAAGCAATGCTTAACTCAAAGATGCTTGGGCTCCTTGTCCTGTTTTTCCTTAGCTGGGAGAACCCAGATTTGTATGTACTTACTCGGTTAGTTGTTGGAAGGAGAAAACTCTGCAAGTCAGTCGAAGGCTCCAGGTTTCTCTGCAGCCCCAGCCACTGTTTATGTACTTGAGAAAGCTCTGGCAGACAGCTGGGCTCAAAGCACCACCTTGAACCCAATCAAGCCTTGCATTGATCTTGCCTTCCTGGGGAAGAACTTTGGGTGACTCACATTTGACAGCATTTGCTGTTTGCGCTTTGTACCCCATTCCAACAGGCCGGGCCCACTGTACAGTTATTTCTAGCCCAGGTCAGGGAGCACAGGTAGTGCAGCTGGGATAAATCCACACCAAGAGATTAGGACATCAGGACTGCACAGCTGCCTGGCTCATCCCAAACTAATCTCTATTAGCATCTCCTCCCCCTGCAGCTCCCTGCTGTTCTAATGAAAGGCAACCAAATCAATAGCAGGTATTTATACAGAAAAAAGATGCAAACTAGACTAGAAAGGCATCCCGGCTTCTTAATCACTTGTGCAGTACACTGGCACTACGCGAGGCTCTGCAGCTACAGCAAGTTCAGCAGAGGTAATGCAGGCAGGCATAGGCACTGAGCAGCTACTCAGTGCTTTTTCACACCCCTCAGCTCCAAGTATTTCCTGCCCCACAGGCCACAGTCTATGCTTCAAGTACCAAATCAGTTAAAAACACATAAAGCATAGCTAAAAATACAAAAAAAAAAAGTTGCACAGCTCCAAAGGATACAAGAAGCCTGGAGAAAGCCAGGTCAGCATAGTGTCAGCTCACAGCCAGCACAGTCTCACTGCAGATCAAGTTCACACAGCAGGATCATTTATTTTAAAATTAAGTGACATTTACAATACCTTCTGAAACAGAACTTAAATACATTTAATCAACAACAACCTGTCAAATAATGAGAGATGAAAGTGTTCAAGCCTCTCCCACCATCTAAACAAGGCACAGCTGTACACTGCTATTCCAAAACATTTTCATATAAAAATCTTCACTCTTTTCACTCAGAGACAGGAGCTCAGCATTTCCACTTCCACAAGAGAGTCCAAAGACCCCAAAGTAGTTTTTGTTAAAAATTAAGTCTCAAGAATTTACAAAGCTACTAAATGGAAAGTTTAAAACCCTAGAAAAAGCCAGTTTTACAGTCTTAAGCCTAAGGGTAGCTCAGATCAAGGCCAGTTTCAGCAGCATGGTCCACAGTGGGCAAAGTGCAAAATCAACACAACATGAAGAGTTAAAGCCCCAAGCCTTAAAAAAAAAATCTTGCAATCTTAAGGGGAAAAAAAAAACCACCAGTGGGATTTTTAGCCTGGCGATGCCCCCTGAGCTGTGAAAAGCTGCTTTAGGAGTCAGTCGCATCTGTTGCATCTGGGTTAGAGGAATCCTAACCAAGGATGCTGAAAGATTAGTGTGAGAATTACATAATAAAACCGATTTCAATGCAGAACTTCACACAGTAACGCTGTCTGCTGGCGTTCACCACCTGCCTCTTTTAACACAAAAGTTTTTCCTTTAAAAATGAGTGGTTCCAGAGCTCATAAAC